TCAACCAATTATCATCTGTGTTATGCATAATGTTAGTTAATGAGGCCATAGCATTATTTTTGGTTTTACTTGTAAAGACGTAAGATTAAAGGTTAGTCATAAATGGTTGAAATTTTAGTGGCTGGTGGACGGTTGGCCAATATTCCGAGTATGCAGAACAATGAAAAGCTGATGATGATTCATTCTTAATGGTCACGCTTATTCCAAGAATAGATGGAATGATACGCAACACCTGTGTTTACAGGGCATTCCTCTTAAAATATGATCATTAGATACCTCCACAATGACATTCCTGTTTCTCTGTAGTCAGAAATTGTAAATATTGGTATCCAAGCCAAGTTTGACACACATTTTTAAGCCAAACCATAGGCACAAATGAGGGAGGATGTCAAGCTACAACAGTACGGGAACTGATCTGTGGGTGGGGGGAGGGGCGTGCGAAAAATGATTCTGCAGAACTTAGATTTTTTTTTTAATGGGGGCCACTGGATGGCCAGAATGGCACTCTACAACTGTGAAAGTCATGTTTTGGCTTGGTGTAGACTATTTAAAAAATTGTTTTTGGTCCGACTGCCCAACAAGTTCAGCTGGTGGGTAGGCTTGACTTGCCCAATGGGGGCTTCCCGCCCCCCCCCCCCCCCCCCCAACTGATATGGGAGAGAGTCCTCCAGCCTATGCCCATACATGAAACCAGTTTTACAAAGCTTTGTGCTAAAGTAGCCTACTCATTGCATATGATGGAGAAATAGTTTTTTTTTTATTTGAAAGCTAATAGTTCACTTAAATATTCAAAGCAATTTAAATATTAAATGTAGTGTTTGTTTTTTTTTAGTTTATTAGCTTGACACTAGTCAACTCTAAACTTTATAAACATCACATGGTATTAGTACCACTATTTTTTATAAATATTATCATTTTCCTAATAAGCCCATGTTTAATATTTTCGTAGTTAACAAACATGATAATATACACCATGCCAGGCTGCATGCATGCAGTAGTCTCTCACCTGTCACGTTCCTCAATTAGAGAGAGCTGTGGCTGGCGCATGAGCCTAGCATAAAATGCATATATTCATGAGTTCAGGGGTCAGGATGAAGAGTGAAATTCTTGAAGAAGCGAAGGAGGAGGAATTCCATTCTATGTTGACTGTGTCTTCAAATTCTTGGGGTTGTATTTTGGGGAGCGTTACCGTTTTTCTGGGAACGATTTTTTACCGTGGTATGTCCATGGAGCATCAAGTACAAGACTCAATAAACGCCATCTGGGCGGCCATTGCTGCATTGAACAGACGATTATCATCTCTCGAGGATTTGAATAAGTTGTCAGAAGCCAAAGTAAGTTTTCAAAAAAAAAAGATGAAGTTTTTCAAAAGTGCAGAAAAGTTGTTCGAGAATATTTTTTCTTTACCGCGTATTATTTCTTGAAGGTAGATTATATCGGTTGTTAAAAACATTATTTATAGATTATCGATTCAGAAACTTGGTAAACTACTTTAAAAGTTTGCACACTAATTATATTTAATTTTCTTTTTAAATCCTGCCTTTAAAAAAATATTTATTATTGTAATCTATACTCAAATTAATAATTTAAAATAATTATTTGATTTATTTTTAATTACTTGTCTTAATTAGCTAATTTCCTGCTGATTATTAAATTTGATTATTATTGAATAGATTTAGAAATCATAAGGTGGAGTTGACATACAAATAGTTATTGAATCATAATATTGTATAATAAATATATAAAATCTGTGATGTAATAATAGGATCAATTGATTGAGAGCTGTTTGTACACAGCTATATTTTCATAGGAATACCAGAGATTCCATTGGTGGTAGGCTGGTGGTGTGAAGACTCTTATCAAGTGTCTTGAAAGATAGCCAATTGATGAGTCACATGGATAGACCATAATGCATCAGTATGACTACAGTATCTTTATGCATCCACATCATGATATTTTAATTTAATATAGTATAATTAATATAAATAGTATTTGAGAATTAAGTTAATGAATTGAGTTGCTCATTCAAAACTTTTATTTAAGTTATTAACTTCCAAGAGTCAATTAATTTTTTGATTTATATACATAAATTTTTTTTACAAATATACTATGCAAAACATATTGAATCTATTGTTTATGTTCATTTATTGGCAAGGAAAGTTTATTCTTCCAAACTTTAATTAAACTCTAAAATAGCATAAATATTGTTTATTCAGTACATTCGCAGAAGATAGATATGTATAGCCTGGTGTGAATAGAGTGGTGCATATTGAATAGCCCATATGATTATGTTGCATTCAAACATTTTATTGTTGTTCATCGTAGGTAGACACTTGAGGTGATAAGCATTCTTAGAATTTTAAAGGGCATTGAAAAACATATTTTACAGTTATAATACAATATGAGAGAAGGAGCATGCTAAGGAGGGGAAGAACAGTAGGTAATACACTAGAAAGGAAAGGGAGAGAAGGAGGGAGGAAGTGAAAAAAAGAGGAGTAGGAAGTAGATGAGGGAGGGAGGAAGAAAGACAATGGAAGTTAGGAAGAGGGGGGAATAGTAGAGGGCGGATGCAGTTGCGATGCAGGCATATCTCTCTTATGACTCCATTCCTAGACCCACTGGTCTTTGCATGAAGTTGTCAGATCCCCCATATGTGAGTTCTCGCCACAAAATGAGTGTCATGGTTAGAAAATCAAAAATTGAGTTACATATATTTGGGTAGATCACATTGTAAGCTTTAATTTGGTTTTTTTATATGGCTTTCCTAGGATAAGTTGATCCAGAGGTGTGAGTATTTAAAGTGTAGGTGTATGAGAACCATGTTTTGAGAAAATCGGCTTCAAAGATAAACTATGCTGTACAAACAATAGGACTAGAATTACAGAACATGCGCAGAGAACACTGTTTTAATAAGAAAATTCACTTTAAAAGTATACTATCAAAAAAGTATCAAGTTATTAAAAAGAAATTTAATAAAAATTTAACTTTGACCTATTTTGGAGAACATCTCGGATATATTGTTCTCCATAGATAACTTTTGATTTACGCAGCTAACTCCAGAGTGGATTCGCTCATCCATGGCTGTTCTGTGTTCTCTATATAACATATATTTGGGATAAAACATAGTGTAAAGTCCAGACAACATAAACTCAGTGTTCTCGCATGCGCAGATGACTTATACAGTTCTCTGTACAACATATATTTGGGCCAAAACATACTCTAAAGTCAAGACAACATGAACTCGTTGTTCTCCCATGCGCAGATGACTTTATACAGTACGATTTTATTACGTTCTAAGGTCTTACTGTTGTCATATTTTTCGAGATCTCCCAATCGTACTTAAAAACGTATTCCTTGAACAAGTAGGTGGCGGCAAGCGATTGCAATTTGGCTCTAGTATAACTAGAGTAGTGGAATGATTCTACAGTAATGAATACTGATAAAAGTGGCTGATGGTTGGACTGTGTTTTATCCATACACTGTACATGACCTACATTTATTTCATATTTTGAAAGTACATTGGCTTATCTTTCTCAAATCATTCTTTGCCCTATTGTGTATAATGACCAGCTTTCACTCAAATAGATGGCCACTTACTAAGAAAATGTTTGACATCAAACAAATAAAGAATATGTTAATATTGCCTAGGGCTCCATTAAATCTCTTTATCAGATCTTATTCCTGTCCCAGGGGCAAATTAAGAATTACTATTTTAGAGTTAACTGGATAGAATTTTCACTGAATTACATGCATCAGTAGGAACTACCGTTGGGTATTGACGGTACATCTGTCCATGATTTTGCTCATATCAATATTAAGAGGAAATAAATTCTTCGTAACCATTTGGGAACAGTATTATTATTATTGGAGACAATGAAATGATGATGGTAGTTTTTTAAGGAGGTGAATTAAACGTTTAACACAAATTTTCCTAGACAAAATTTATGTGATCAAGGCTACTACAGGTTACTATGGTATACCCATAAATTTTAAAATGAGGATGTCCCCTGCTAATAATAGAGTACTTGATTCCCTACTATTTCTAGTACAGTACGACATGATCCCCTACCAGCTGGTCCCTTACTAGCTAATATTCTACTATGGCCCATTCACACTGCCTCCTGCTGGTGGGGGGGGGGGGGGAGGGGAGGAGGAATGTTCTTCAAATATGGCGTTCTTTATGCAATGTTTGCATTTCCAAGGCTAGTCATTGTTAGTGTAAATGGGTACAACTATTTTTGACCAGTATAATTAGAAATGTTTTCCATTGTCATATTTAAGTTTCACTGATCCTGGCTTTAACCATTTAAAAAGGGGTATAACATGGCTTCTACTACAACTACCGGTAGCTGGGTCTTTACTATTTTGCCCCACCATGACAAAAGGAAGCAACTGATGTTTGCATTGCTTTGAGTAATTAAGGAATATGGAGCATGTTGATTTTGTCCCCTGCTTCCTTTTCTGGTGGTTTTTATGGTATTTTTAGTGTCTTACTTCCTTTTTGTTTTGCTAATTACTCATTAATTAGTGGCATACTCAAATATACAGTATCAATATGTTCCGAATTATTAGTTCTTTGATAGTGACTTAAAAACTTTCCTTCCTTATGTCATGGTGGGGCAGTATTACACTGGCAGTGGTATCTTACTAGCTGGTACCATTTTGTAGGGTGTCCTAAATATTTTAATACATACTTTGTTGTGCATAGTTATACTAATTATTGATAGTAAACAATGTATTATCTGGAAGATTGTTTTCCAGGTGATAATTCCTTGCGGAAGTACAAGAGACTGTGGAGATTTCTGGAAGATTCCTCCAACTTGCGAGAGATTGTGACTCCGTTCTTCAATTTTGCACTATAACAATTTAATATTTTCAATTATTAAAAGAATTTCTCCAATCATTAGGCAAGACCTTTTTATACCTTGTTTAGCAACCCCCCCGCCTGCCAATAATGATTTCGAATACAAATTTTATTTTATTTTTGGCCAATTTGCGCACCCGTCGCCACGATAAAATTGAAATTTTGTAGAAAAAAATAAAAAGTTTTTCCTTTATGTACGCTAATGCGAGATAAACTTTCAGCAGTAGAAATCAGCGTCAGCCCAACCGCGGTGCCCATGCTCACTACAGCACTGATTTGCCGAGGCCCTTTTGCTGGCAGGTTAATTTACGAATGTACTGTACTATGAATCCATGGTTTATAAAAATCAAATCTTATTACGCCCCTCTTCCCCCCCCCCCCCCCCATTACTGCACTGTTTACATTTACCAATAACATTTTATTTTTATTTTCTTCTCTGTCTGTATTTTTCGGCAAAACTTGCTTGCTAAATCAGAACAGAATTTTTTTTCCCACCCTCTGCAATCTTTAAAAAAAAAAGTTCGCTAAACAAACTAGGTATAAAAAAAGGTCTCGCCATAGATGTAAAAAGTTACTAATACTTAAAATGATAGTACTGTAAGGAACTTAAAGTAAGGTCAAAGATATTTATATTGGTGTAACTAGTGATGTTTTTCATTGGCATTCTGAAAGAGAAAGAAATGCCATTTCCTATGTTCCTTTGTTTTGATAAATTGGTCATGTGATGTTTTTGTCATTATTGCGAGTTCTCCAGAATGATGTACTTTTAGATTTCAGAATCTGTGCTAAATTATAATTTTTGTATTGTAGTTACTGGTTTCCATTCTATTGTATTTTAGTCTTTCACTAATTGGAGAACAATTATTTTGACACGTTGACTGCCTAGCCTATTTTCCTGCTTTCACACTACAAGGCATAATGGGAATCACATAATAAAAAACATTTTAATTGTTGTTTCTTAATACAGTTTATAAGTTTTTGGTTTCTATGCTACAGTAATTATTTAGGAATTGTGATGACTTTCCCTACAAGAACACAATTACCTTATTTATTCAAATAAATGCCCTAGGCATATAGTTTGGAAGATTTTTTGAGGGGTTATTTATTTGAGGGAAGGGTTTATTTTTTTGTGTGTGTAAAATGGATACGTATATCCTCAAATAAACACCCCATAATTTCACTGTAAATGTGGAACAACAACACATAATTACAGTCAGATGTGTTATTGTGTGATCAGACTTTGATTGATTTGATTAAACGCATGTTTATTTTTGGGAGGCGTTTATTCCAAATGAGGCTCTAGAGGGGGGAATTTTATTCGAGGGGAGCATTTATTCAAAGCAGGTCGTTTAAATTTTTGTATTGTCTTTCACTACTAGGAAAACAATTATTGTACCGTTTGTCCAATTTGTCTGAATCCAGACTGTACTGAAATTTTTAGCTCTAGAAATACTTCCTCTAAGAGTGTTGTACCAAGACCTGCTATTTTTAGTGGATACCTGTTAATACACTTAACTAATGCAAAGTTGTCATCAACCCATATTTGATATTTTTACAAGCTGGAAACACATTCTACATACAACTAAATAATATATACAGTATACAATACTATGCAATATTAATACCACATTGAATGGAAAGAGTAATGTGATTCATTTATTATTAATCCATATGACAAATATACGTACTGTAGTTGTAAATTGAGTACATCAAAAATAATTTGTCCTTCATGTAGATATTGAAATTATGTATACATTCGACAGTTGTGTATGAAAATATAGGATGTTACCATCTGTTATTTTCTATGTTTTGTGATCTTCCTTTTGCACATTTAGAGCTGTTGCAGTGGGAGATTGAATTTCAATATGAACTTCAAACTCCATAGGTAGGACCTCTCTTCTACATTTTGTGGAATGTTTATTTTTATTTTATTTCCATTCGCATCCAATGACGGGAAGCCCGCCACTACAGAATGGAAACATAAAACAATCAAGATAAAGGAGAACGACAAATCAATTGCAAACTGCGAGTCAACTGACCGAGCGGTTAAGGCAGGTCTGCCCAATTTGCCCACAGCACCGATAGCAATTGATGTAGAAAGGGCCTTCCACTGCTGTTGTAAATCCCAGACTCTAACAGCAAGCTTTTTGCTCTCTAGTCACTAAGAGAAAGCTTAAAGAATTTTTACTTACTGATTTTTAATGTTTCATGTTTTTATCCTTTACTACATGCAGTTTTTATATTTACTCAACTAGTAATTTTAATATTCAATTTTAACTTTTACAATTTTTTAATTTTTAATTTTAAATTGGCCAATGTTTACCTATTTTATATATTTTACTATATATTCTAAACCTTGCCAGATCACTATCTGTAAATATTCGCTCTTGTGCAATAATTACCCTGGCTTCTGGACCCCATTGGAAATAAGTCTGGTGTACAATCACTAGACTTAATGGGTTATCCAGGCATTCAATTAATTATATTCATCTCCTTTTTTATGTTCGTTCTCAAAATGTTATTGTTATGTGTGTGATATTGAATGCAAAATAAATCAAATCAAATCAAAAGGCCTAGCAATGGATTAACATAATTTCATTAATAGAAATTATGAAGCTTGTTGCTGTACGAAGAAGAATAAAGTGCCGTAGTTAAGCCATAGCCCACAGCAACTATTTGCTGATGGAGCATTTTGAGGAAAATTCGGACCCTGCGCAAACCTACTATACAGCTATAATATCAGCACTGGTTTGAACGGCATGGTTCGGGAGGTGGAACAAGTCTTCTCGGATAAGGATTATAAACTGTAGGCCCAGTGTACACAATTGGCTAATGTGCACTTTAAAAAACCCAGTACATCTTTTGAGATGAGTAGGGGGTTGGTTACCCTGTGTACTGGTCCATACAGCCCCTGTTGTCTTGTGATGGGTTTACCACTTTGAAGAGTGATTAAGTTCACTGCTTGGCAGTATCCTTGGCCCTAGTGCCTAAAGCTGAATAAATTAAAAAATAAATAAACAAAACAAAATGTTCTTTACAGTTTTTGGAATTATTTGTTATGGCTTGATGACAACTCTGCTCTTGTTAAATGATATATTACCAAAAATAGTATTAGCATTGACTGATCTAAGGATGTGGGGGCCCAAGTGGGCCCCTCCCATATGTTTTTTTTTAATTATAAAAGAAATGAAAAAAAATAAATAAAATTCAAATTTAAGTCTGAGAGTGCCTTTTTCAGGCATCCAGATGTTCCATAATCATAATTTCTTTTTACTGTACATCAGCCCCTACCATGATGGAGGCTGAATGGTACAGTATTGAAATTGACTAGCATCCAATTTTCTTAGAATTTACTATATTTCATGGCGGACGTTTTAACTGTATAAACCAAGGTCCTCAAACCCCAACATTATTCTGAAGAACCAATTACAAATTACCAATGCATATAACACATGAAATATTAATACGAAGAGCTATTGGTTAAGTTATTACCTTAAAGAGAATATTGATAGATAAGATGGATCTATCATATACTGTACATGTCAGTTGACCATGTTGCTGCTAGTAAGAATCATAAAGCAGATGGCGCGCATCTATAATGATGACTCATGAATATTCATAGAATTATTTATTAAATTATTTCTTCAGTTACAGCAATACAAACGGTTATGTTGTAAGCCTAAGAAAATTGAAACTGAGTCAAAATGTTGTAACTTGGTAATGAAAAGCAGAGGAACTAGTGAAACATAATGTGTAATAATACATAGCGAGATGGGTAGTAGAGAATGGTCTAAGTAGTAAAGATTGTAACTTGCTTAATGATAAGCATGGGAGGAAAGGAAACGTTTATATATTTGTATGGTATGAAAAAGGAGTGAAGAATGTAATTTAATGATGATAATAATGATGGTGGTAATGATGTTTATTGTAATAAATGCACATATAAAATAATTACTTCCTTTTAAAATTGATAACAATTTTAATGTTTTAATGGAGGTTTTGATAGTTGGTGATTTTTGTTACTTTTACCATTTATATTTATTAATATAAATACTTTTATATTAATTAATAGGCCAGCTGCATTTATTTTAAAGTTTATAGTTTTCTTTATTTCGCTTTGGCATACCATTTTTACTTAAATTGAAATATTTTTATGTTTTAAATGTTTTGTTTGTTTTATTTTAATGTGCTGAAAGGAATGAAATAAAATTTTTTTTAAAAATATGGCATTAGGTAGTAGGGAGGGAAAGGAAGTGTTGGCACTGGCCAAACATGTTGGCTGCCAGCAGGTGTTGCTGAGGGCGCTAGGCATGACTATATTCGTCAAAATCGGGGTAACATTCATAGCGTTTATTAATTCTTTGTTATACATTGTAGAACCACAGACTTAACGGCTGGTAGTTCGGGGAAGATACACCTAAAGGATAACATGCAAATAACGGGTGTATGTTTGTTGTTGTTATGTTGCCGGTAGTACACTCAATTGCACAAGTGGGGGCGCTCTCTGAACAGATACCAACCCATGCAAGAAGCGGATAAGAAAACTCGCACTTGGCAGAGACAAGTTTACTCATCCCCTAATATTTTCCTGCCAATTTATTAGACACACCATTTTGATGATACATGACTAGATAGAATTTCAAAAAAGTATGTTTGTACATGTAAACTTGTTCTGGCACATAGAAGGACCCTAAAAAAGAAAAGGTCTGGCAGTCAACATGTTAAGGAAAGATCACAACTTGGTGATGTACAAGGTTAAGAGAGAGAAAAACCATGATTTTAAGTTTTGTCCACACTGTCAAATTATATGTGACAAAAGCATTTAGTATGCTCGTATATGGGTGTAATATCACATCATTATGCCCTTTTATGAGCACATCACACAAATTTTGTCACATAAAATTTCATAATGTGGATGAAGCTTTAGAAAAGATAGTAACAGGGAGAAGGAGCGAAGCATAGTTTAAGTACAGATTAAAATTGATCGTAGAGCCCGGGAAGAATGGTGAAAATATGGTCTCAATGAAGATTGTTAATTTGTATTATATAGGGGGAAAAAAGGGGAAAATCATCGTTGTAGTAGTAAACTTGTGTTGTAGTGTAACTTGTATTTTTTGTTATCAGTATATATTGTGTGAACTCCTACATAATTTTATAAAAAATAAATCAATAAGTTCTTGGAAAACATGCAGTTTCTATGGGTTTTTTTTCTTTTTTCACAATGTCTATAGCGATTTTTTTCTTTGTAATTTATTAAGCCTTGTCTGCCATTGTGTACAATATGGTTCTATATAAAATATTTAGATTTATTAATTGTAAATTTACTTTTTTTTTCTTATAGAAAGAAAAGGCAGAAGCGAAGGCAGCTGGTGGAGAGAATGGCATCCAGGAGAATGCTGCAGCGGAGCCAGCAACTAAGGTGGAAAATGAAGCGGCTGAGGCAGCTGCAGCTGGTGATGCCGAGGTAAAAATGAATATAATCCTCTGCATAGCTTATCATATTTTCTTTGACAAAAAACAGTTGCATGCCCGTATATAGTCACAATGTGCCTATATATGGTCATAATGTGATGTCATCATGAGAATGTTCATGACCATTGACATGTCATGTTTTTGTCAAAATTTAATAGTTGTAATATGGCTTTAGATTAAAGTTGAACTCATTTTAAAAAGATATGATAGTGGGAGCAGCTAAATTAACTAGACTGAACTTGGGGTAGCCACTGTGGTGCTGAACTTCAAAGATTCTTGCATATACTTTTGTCCATTTCAATTCCATTGTTGATCTTGTCGTTAAACTCGAAGGCTGAAATATATGAATCATTTGTGCCCAGTGATTTAACAGGTATGGGCAATTAGCCCCAGCTCTTCAAGGGCCTCAGGATATTTATTCAACATTGGCCCCATACAATTCCAAGCAGGATCTTTCTTAAGGAGCACTAATATGTTTTAAAGGAACATCGAAATACTTTCTTAAAACATAAAATACGCTGAAGCAGGTACAGATTATTCAGTTGATCCCTGAAGAAGCCTTGGCCTAAGGCCACCTTTTTCTTTTTATTTATTTATTTATTTTTTTTATTCATTTCTGCTACTGCTTGTGCTGTGAATACAGTATATTGTTCATGGCATGTTGAAGAATATAGTACACATCAGGGGATTGTCTCCTGATGTAAACTGTTCAAATCACCACCAGAAGGCCCACACTTAAAATAAGTCTCCAGATTTTTGTGTGACACACCCCAAACAAATCCATTCCAACCCGATAACAAGTGGCTGATGATCCCTAGGAATATCAAGTTGACGAATCTCTGTTCCCAACAGTGTCTATGTGCAGTAGGCTCTATCTCTACACATCCCAAAGTTATTCAGAAGTGATGAAGAGGGACTTTTACTCCTCCTAAATTCAGGACAAATGCAGTTTTCAAGATCTCTGTTACTGTAGAATATTCTATTCAAAAGGCTTTATTATAACTATTATGTTGACATAGCATAATTTTAAATTGGTCCATCCAGCCTGAGCTGATCAATTGGGACCCTCAGTACATACAATTAAAATATAAGTATAAAAATTAAACTTGATCTTTAACATAAGCAAATTAATTAAATTAAACCAGGAAAAAATTAATAATAATAATAATAAAAAAAATCAGGGGAAAAAAATATAGGCCTACAGAGCGGGAGCCACTGTGGTGCTGAACTTCGAAGATTCTTGCATATACTTTTGTCCATTTCAATTCCATTGTTGATCTTGTCGTTAAACTTGAGGGCTGAAATATATGAATCATTAGTGCCCAGAGATTTAACAGGTATGGGCTCTAACTGGCTAAAGCAATTAGCCCCAGCTCTTCAAGGGCCTCAGGATATTTATTCAACATTGGCCCCATACAATTCCAAGCAGGGTCTTTCTTAAGGAGCACTAATATGTTTTAAAGGAACGTCGAAATACTTTCTTAAAACATAAAATACGCTAAAGCAGGTACAGATTTTTCAGTTGATCCCTGAAGAAGCCTTGGCCTAAGGCCACCTTTTTCTTTTTATTTATTTATTATTTTTTTTTTTATTCATTTCTGCTACTGCTTGTGCTGTGAATACAGTATATTGTTCATGGCATGTTGAAGAATATAGTACACATCAGGGGATTGTCTCCTGATGTAAACTGTTCAAATCACCACCAGAAGGCCCACACTTAAAATAAGTCTCCAGATTTTTGTGTGACACACCCCAAACAAATCCATTCCAACCCGATAATAACAAGTGGCTGATGATCCCTAGGAATATCAAGTTGACGAATCTCTGTTCCCAACAGTGTCTATGTGCTGTAGGCTCTATCTCTACACATCCCAAAGTTATTCAGAAGTGATGAAGAGGGACTTTTACTCCTCCTAAATTCAGGACAAATGCAGTTTTCAAGATCTCTGTTACTGTAGAATATTCTATTCAAAAGGCTTTATTATAACTATTATGTTGACATAGCATAATTTTAAATTGATCAAATTTCATTAAAATGGTTTTGTATTTCCAATACCAAAATGCAGGCATAATGATACTGCAGAAAAAATAACAATCAGTCAAGGACACACTATCAAGCTAGATTAAATAAAATAATAATGAAACATTTTTTTTCTATGGCCTTTACACTGTAAAATCTCCACTGTAGATGCTTTATATGTGAGCTGCCATAACAAAATGAGTCTTGTACAAAATATGAAAAATAAGTTATTAATATATTTAAGTAAATTACTATATACTTAAATATATCAATAATTTGTTTTACTATATAGGCTTGATTTTGGTATTTGAATCAGGTTCCTAGCTTTGAGTACAACCGGAGAAAAAATAATTTTAAAATTCAGAAGTCTGAAAACATATTTTTGAGAAATTTACCACTTTATTTTGTGTTGGTTTTCCTATCAATTCTGTAAAAGGACTTTACAAGATGCGTGTATCAAACAAAGTTAACTATCTAAATCAACTCAGAACATTTGCTATCAATGAAATATACATAAACCTATCAGAAACATTGAAAGAAGTCCAATGTTTTCTAAATTTCACTTCATATATTTTCTTGAATATATCAAATAACTCATTTTGTCACAACTCACATCTTTCAATAAGGTGTTGCCAATCCTATCTGTTCTATAACTACTAAAAATCATCTTAAATTAAAAGCAGTGGCTATTTAAAGTTTTATATGAATACATAATTCTGATTAGATATTATTGTCCTAATCCAATTCATACATCCAATCAGAATTTAGAATTCATTGAAGACTGCAAACAATTATAAAATAAAACCAGCAAAAAACAAAAATCATAAATTAAAGCAGTTGTGCAAGAATAAAGCAAGCAGACATCTATGGTTGACAACATTATTCATTTGTAATATGTCAATAGTCCTCTTCATTTCCGGTATTACTATGGTGACAAGATCCTTAAAAGTCTTAAAGTCTTTGATTAAGTGCGTCATCGATAGCCCTCGCTTTTTTTTTTTGTTTTTTTTTTCTATTAATAGGTTTTTATAACTGATTTAAAGCCCTGTCCAGACTATCAAATTTACTTTGATGAAAAACTGTTATATGCCCATATTTAGTCATGATGTGATGTCATCATGACCATACTTTAGGCATGTAGCATGTTCTTGTCAAATAACATTTGATCCTCTGGACATAGAGTTAATAACTAACGATGTAAAGACGGGGACTGGAGCCTCTACCAATGAAACACGAAAGCTAAAAGCCTGGTTCTCACGAGAGCCCTAGTATCCGGATCGGGTGCTAACCGTTAGCGCTAACCGTTAGCACCTATGTGAGAACGCCCGATCGGTTAGCGCTAACCGTTTGCGGTATCCGGATACCGCTAATGGTTAGCAAGCACTATCGGTTAGCAAGTGAGCGCATTTCTATCATCAACCAATCACACGTACGCGTTTACAATTTCCAGTTTCTTATTGGCCAGTGATTCGATCATCATACTTTTGGTATCCGGATCGGGATTTTCTCTTATGGACGCACGGTTAGCAGGATATGGATCCTGCTAACTGTTAGCGGCCGTGTGAGAACATAGCCTACGTTCATTAGTTTGTGAAAACTATTAAAACATGTTTTGATTGAGACCCATTTCTCATCATCACAGTTTGACAATAATCTGACTTGTCTTTATAAACAGTACAACTTAAGAGATGTATAGGCCTGTAAATAGAGTGACTCTGCTAATACTTGTATGGCCTCCAGTCTGAATAATTTTCCTTGAAAAACAAATAGTTTGGTCCGTCATATATCGCTCCTTTTTCCGCTGGTCATTGAGTATCATCAGAACAATCATGCACATTGTGGAACCTCAACCACTTCCTGTGAAATATTCCTTGAGGTAATTCAACATCCTACCAGGCGCCCAATCCTGGATAAAGATAGACAAACATAGTTAAAGTGCCTTTCCAACAACACAAGTGTCAAGCTCAAAACCAACAACCTCAATTTCCCCAAAGCTTTACTTCTAAACCATAATGCTAAATTAAATTTTAAAATATAGTTTATAATTGTTTTTTTAAAATAAGGTATGCCACCATTCATAGTTGAAATCTTGCCTATGAACATTAATTACTGTATACATTTTGATAGCCTGTCGTAGAGTCCTATGTCCAAATATTATGAGTTTGTAGGTTAGAAAAAAGTACTGTACATTCTCTGATTTCATAAAGGCCATCCAATATTGTTCAAGTTTATTATTATTTTTACTGTTTATAAAAATAGATGTAAATCTTCTTTCTGATACAATCATTACCATAATGGTGTCAATAAAATGAAACAACATCTGAAAGAAAATCATTTGATGTCAAATTAGGCCTTCTGTTATTTCCTTATTTTTTTTTTATTTTTTTTTTTACATCAAGATTTTATCCAGTTTACTTTCCACTAAAATCCAATGTTTGCATTTTTGACACAAAAATGTCAATTGGCCTCCCTGCTGAATTTGATATTTCCAAATTTATTTTTAGAGATTCTTGGTAATTGGTGGTCATTAGTCGTGTATTGTGTAACACCAAGGTCATACGCTAGTACTTTTTACCTCGTTATTTTGTTAAGTAATGTATTCTTGACATGTAAAAAGGTAATCTTAGGTTAGGATAATAATTGTACGCCAGGTATCCATTCCTGTTGCACACGGCCATTAAGCTCTTGTGTAGCTCTGTAAATTGTGGGTCTGGCATGATGATGATACAGTGGCGGCTCTAGGATACATTTTTGTATTGGCTAAGCTGTCCGACAGTGGGGGGGGGGGCTTGAGCTTGTGTGCCTGAGGAGGTGGAGGACCAATGAGATTTTTGTTTAAATGCCTCTGGATGGTCAGAAATGGCACTCTTCGACTGTGAAGGACATGTTTTGTCTTGGTGTAGGCCTAGAACCCCACTGGCAGGTGGGGTTCTTGACTTGTCGGGTGGGGTTCTTGACTTGTCTGATGGGCCCCGTCCCCCACTGACGCCGCCACTGTGATGATACCTAACAATTAGATATAAAGCTGTGTCCACACTATCAAATTTGATTTTAAAAAATTAATTGAAAATTAATATGATTTGCTCAAATATGGGCATGTTGATGTCATATTACACCCCTACCAGGCGCCCAATCCTGGATAAAGATAGACAAACATAGTTAAAGTGCCTTTCCAACAACACAAGTGTCAAGCTCAAAACCAACAACCTCAATTTCCCCAAAGCTTTACTTCTAAACCATAATGCTAAATTAAATTTTAAAATATAGTTTATAATTGTTTTTTTTAAATAAGGTATGCCACCATTCATAGTTGAAATCTTGCCTATGAACATTAATTACTGTATACATTTTGATAGCCTGTCATAGAGTCTTATGTCCAAATATTATGAGTTTGTAGGTTAGAAAAAAGTACTGTACATTCTCTGATTTTATAAAGGCCATCCAATATTGTTCAAGTTTATTATTATTTTTACTGTTTATAAAAAAAGATGTAAATCTTTTTTCTGATACAATCATTACCATAATGGTGTCAATAAAATGAAACAACATCTGAAAGAAAATCATTTGATGTCAAATTAGGCCTTCTGTTATTTCATCAAGATTTTATCCAGTTTACTTTCCACTAAAATGCAATGTTTACATTTTTGACACAAAAATGTCAATTGGCCTCCCTGCTGAATTTGATATTTCCAAATTTATTTTTAGAGATTCATGCTTCTTGGTAATTGGTGGTCATTAGTCGTGTATTGTGTAACACCGAGGTCATACGCTAGTACTTTTTACCTCGTTATTTTGTTAAGTAATGTATTCTTGACATTAAAAAGGTAATCTTAGGTTAGGATAATAATTGTACACCAGGTATCCATTCCTATTGCACACGGCCATTAAGCTCTTGTGTAGCTCTGTAAATTGTGGGTCTGGCATCATGATGATACAGTGGCGGCTCTAGGATACATTTTCTGGGTTGGCTAAGCTGTCCGACGGTGGGGGGGGGGGGGCTTGAGCTTGTGTGCCTGAGGAGGTGGAGGACCAATGAGATTTTTGTTTAAATACCTCTGGATGGTCAGAAATGGCACTCTTCGACTGTGAAGGACATGTTTTGGCTTGGCGTAGGCCTAGAACCCCACCGGTAGGTGGGGTTCTTGACTTGTCGGGTGGGGTTCTTGACTTGTCTGATGGGCCCCGTCCCCCACTGACGCCGCCACTGTGATGATACCTAACAATTAGATATAAAGCTCTGTCCACACTATCAAATTTGATTTTAAAAAATTAATTGAAAATTAATATGATTTGCTCAAATATGGGCATGTTGATGTCATATTACACCTATATATGGGCATATCACAGTTTAAAGATGATATCTGTGTTAATTACAAATCACTAATATTTTCCAATACTAAAATAATTGATAGTTCACCTAACTGGTCTTGTTTGCTATTTATAAGGATGCCCTAGTTATTCATCGTCTTAAACCTAAATTAAACTGTGGTCGCAAAGCATCAAGAGAGTTGAAATTGTTTATGTGATAAAATCCAATCTCATAATCACTATTGTTGTACTTGCTTAATCCCTTCATTTGCATTGCAGAATTTTTTTTTGTCACTGTCAAAGTTTTTTCATTCCTGAAGATGACTCAATAAAGGTTGAAACGTTGAATCATGGCCTCCCTCTCTTTATTCGGAGTAAAAAAACATAAAATTTGATATTAAGTGTGGACAAGGCCTAGGTTTCTACAGTTGTTATATAATATGAAGAAAGAATATTTATGACTTGCACAGGAATTAATCCTTTACACATGCCAATATATTTTTAGTGTAAATCCTAAATAATTTCTCTAGGCCTATACTTTATATTTTTATACTTGTTTCTACTTAGCGGTGAAGGTGCTAATGAGAAGTCCTAGCCCCATGGGTCTTAATCACATGGTATAAAACAAAAACTGCAAAAGAAAATACCATGCTTGATGAAAAAAAAAAACGAGGTAGCATATTTACTAAAAAGCATTCATTCCGTATTTGCCGTAATGATAAAAGCATTTCTTTATTTCTTCTTTTTTTTTTAAATTTTATTATATTTTTTTAATCCAAAGTAGAAGCTTAGAAGATAATGATGAGATTGGTAGAAGTCCCTTTCAGTGTTTGTCAAAGTTCAGATTACATTCAGGCCAGGTGATTAAGAATCCCGTGTCATGTGACCGGTTGTGGGCATTGTGCCGAGATATTGAAGCAAGCCACTGTCTTGTGTCATGTACTTATGGTCCGTCAAATATGTGTAATATTTACTGTCACTTTGATTACTCTCATCTCTTCCATATAAGGTGTTTTCAGTAGTAGTAGTTTCTTAGTTTAATTGGAAGTTAATTTAGACTGGGAAATACAAAATTTAATACCATTTTAAACATTATTACATTTTTCAATTGAGTAGAAAGATGCATATTCATTGTATGTGGATAAGTGTAGATGTAACTTATGTGATATTAATAGACAGATAAAAATTTAATTAGATTTCTCCTATACCTGTATTATTGTTGCAAAGTACATCATCAGTAATTTGATAAATATTGTAATTAAAATTATTTATGATCACTATTTGACCTTCAGATCATATGTTCACTAGATTACCATTACATGAACTGTGATCTTTAAAAGTGTATTATAATCTGATTGACTTGAATAAATTTAATAGAACTATATCTAGTATTAATATTTTAAGGTTTTAATTCCCTACAATCATTAGAAAAATACCTATCACAGTGTACCTTAGCAGGTAACTAGAACAAATTTTGAATGGATTTTAAGTTGATGCACTAAAATTTGTAATATTTTGGCATTCCAAAGTTTCCCCCTACTGATAGCCAACTGTTTATAAGTATTAAAAAATAACGTTATGGAAAAGGTCTTTATAAAGTAGAGCCCGGTGTGAGATTTAAATCAAAATTTCATTTTCAAAATTGATGTCTAGTGAGTCGGGTGGTTATTGAAGACATGGAGGTACGTACATTTATAGGCCTATCCACATATTTTATATTAAACTTTAGATAACTTCATTAAATATGTTAACTTTGTGCGATTTATTAAAATTTAATATCCAAAGTTTAGGAGCAATTTGAAGCAATTTTTTTGTAGTATGCTTAAAATAGATGAATTTTTTCGTGTCTCTAAATACTCTATTTCAAGCCTTAGCCAAAATTTCCAGTGTACTGAAATTGAACCTGCTGAGGTGATTAGCCCTTAACCTATTTTAAGTAGTTATGGCTTAAGATTTTACACAAAATGGGAGAGTGAACCTTATGAACTTGGAAATATATCTATTAAAGCAAAGATCAATAAGAAATATTATTTCTTGTTTTATGTTCATGTTTTTTTAATCATTTAATGATTAATATGTCTTTCCTAAAAACAAAAACAAAAAAAAACAACTCACATTTTATGCTATTGCAATCCTTGAGTCAATATGCATTGGTTTAGTTTATGGAAAATGTTTTAATTTAAATTTAAATCGTGTCTGAAATGAAAACATCTCGAACCAGCGCTGATGTTAACTGCTGTAGCTAGCGGTGCCTCTGCCTGCCTTACCGTTCAACCACTCAATTCGCCCCATAACCTTCACCTAAATGTGCACCATAATAAAAACTTTTGGTCATCTGATCACTGAACGGTTCACTACACACCTTAACACAGTAAATGAGTCAAAACGGGACACTTTTTTCGCAAAGTCTATTTAATTTGAATGCTAGGTGCTCAGATTAAAAGGCTAGGTTTTTTAAGCGTTATAATCATCTATATATTATACATCATAATAGACTTTATAGTACATTGCAAGAAATCTGAGGTGGCCTGTTACAGTAACTGTATGTTGTGTTGCTTGTGAGATATATGTTATTAGCCAATGAATATAGGGGTGTGATATGACATCATCACTCCCATATATGGTTTAATCACAGATATCTGTCACAAATTGAGTCAATGACATTGATATTCAAGTGAAGCATGTAAAGGTCTTGATAGGCTGACATTATGTAATTCTAGTATTGTCATCATAACTTTTAAAGGTTACACATGATTTCATTTGACATGTAATCCTTTCTTTTTCAGGCAAAACCAGAAGAACAAGTACCAGCCGATGTAGCAGAAGTAAAGCCATCGGAGGAGAAGGAGGATGAGTCCACTGAGGCTAAACCTGAAGCTGAAGAAACACCAGCCAAGGAAGAAGAGCCTGTAACAATTGTTCCAAATGAGGAACCAACAAATAAAGCCAAAACAGATGATGTAACTCCTTACAACTTATTTACATTTGATATCTTTAATTTTTTTTTTTTTTGTATTTTAATGTCTTTTTGTGATGTAATATTGAGTAATTTGTATGATAAGGTCTTTTCAAATATTAATTATCCTATATTTTTGTGGTGAAAGAAACAATTATATTTTTTTTTTAAATTTTTTCTGAAGGAAAAGGTAACCCAAAGCCAAGTAACAGAAGACCCAAAACCAGATGAGCCAGAAAAATCTGAGGAACCAACTATAGCTGTAAAAGAAACTGTAGTGGAGGAATTGGTAATAGAACCTCAACCACTAGGAATGGAAGCAGACGGATCACATTCAATGACACATGCACCTATGTCTACATCAACAGAACCTGTATTAATAGTTGAACAAAGACATGAAGACCTTGTGCCAGAACCTACACAACCTGAGCCAGAAAGTACACCAGCAGAAGAATCAACACCAGCAGAAGTTTCATCACCAGAACCAGTAGAAGATCTGGTATCTGTTGAAGTTGCACCAGCAGAGGAACCTACCATAACAGACATTCCTCCTGCAGAAGAATCAGCACCTATAGAACCTGTTGTTCCTGAAGAATCAGTTGCAGCTGATGAACCTGTGCAAGCAGAAGAATCTACACCAGTAAAAGAACCCACAGAACCAACTCCAGACGAGTCTACACAAGTAGTAGAACAACCACCACCAGCAGAAGAACAAGCACAAGCAGAGGAACCTGCAATAGTAGAGCCTGCACAAGCAGAGGAACCTGCAATAGTAGAGCCTGCACAAGCAGAGGAACCTGCAATAGTAGAGCCTACACCAGCAGAGCCTGTATTAACTGGAGATCAACTACCAACAGCAGAGGAACCTGCACCAATAGAAGAACCTGCATCAGTAGAAGAACCTACACCAGCAGAAGAAACAATACCAACAATAGAAATAGATGAATCAGGACCTACAGAAATTTCATCTGAAGAATTATCAGTAGACCTAGCAGAAACACTAGAGGAACCTACACCCACTGAATCTGCAGCAGTAGTTGATGAACCTGCAGAAGAAACACTTGTAACTGAAGATCCTGCAGCAGAACCTCAATCAATTGAGAATTTTACCGCAACAGAAGAAAGTGCTATTGAAGAAACTACACATTTAGAGGAAAATACACTCGTAGAGGAACCAGTATCTTCTGAACCTGAACTTGTTCCTGCCGAACCAGATCAGTGTCAACCAGATATAATAGGTGTAGAACAAACAAATGGCGAGATTGACAATGACCCAAATGCCAGCGTTCCAGTTCAGTTTGTATGGAGTGAATCTGGTGAAGTTGTAACTCTATCTGGCAGTTGGGACAATTGGAGTGCCAAGACCCCTCTTGTACAAGAGTAAGTATTTCATTTATAACAGTTGTCGCTTTCTGAAATTGTTTATGGTCTAAATACTTGCCTTCTTATCTCAGGGTCCCAGGGTCAATCTTTCTGAAACTAATTCTAATAAGTGGCGGGATGGAAAATATTAAAATGGGTTTAAAATTAATTTTAATTTGACAAAATTATTTTTTAAAGCCGAATCATAAATTAGACATATAAAACGTATAATAGCAAAATGTGATGAAAAATCAGATCATAGTAAAGTGTCTAAAAAAATCAAATTGGTTTTAACTGATGTTGCGACTGAATTTGACCAATAAAAATGCTTCAATATTAATAATTAAGAAATGCGTCTAAAACAATTTTACCTCAATTTTTACAATTGATTGCTAACTATAAAACAAACCAAATTTAAAATCTACAGGTTGAGAACCATTGCTGGATAACACTTCAATTAACTACTCTCATATGCTGTGATTTAATTTTTCATTAATAAAATCTAGTGTACACAAATGGATTGTTAATTCTTGAAAATGTTATATGTTTAATGCCAGTACATGCTTCAATGATTTGATATATTTTAACTGTTTTTGTACTCTTTGGTTGCTTTTTTTGGTCAAGTGTTAATTATTTTTGCATGTTATTGCCTTCTGTTTTCAACTCCATACCACAGACTTAGAAAGTACTAAGTGTTCTAAACAATTCAGCTTATCAGTATGCACTCAACAGTAATTTTGTTTGTGTTCATCCCAAGTATTTGTTTTAATTGTTCATTGATTTCATTCATGGATTAATTTTGACTTCATGTACTTTTCATATTTTATTTCAATGTTAACAAATTTTAATACAGTAATAATAATGATGATAATAATAATGTGAAGATTGAATATAGCATCTGCTTTAATTCAAAATCTCTCTTATTCAAATATATTTCTAGAGAGTTTGAAGAAGGCAGACACTCATAATATATTCTCTTTACCTGTAAGGAATATTGAATTGTGTTCTTCAGTTGAAAATGTTTTAAGAATTTAGAATTCTGATTTATATGTTTGCAAAAAATACAATTCAAATTAATATCTTTTTTATTAATTTTAAATTGAATTACATCAATGACAATTTAAAAGCAAAATGAAGGTGCCTTATTATTATTATTCTATTGTTTAAAAATTGTAATAAATGTGCTGCAAAATAAAATGCTACAAAACATTGTTTTATGTGATATTTTTTATTGCAACATTTTTATTGCAAAACATTTTTTTTAATTAACTACAAATGTTCTTTTTACTTCATTTGTAAATTTCAAGAAACAACAGAATTAATTATTTAATCGTTCTGTACAGTTGACTTCTCTCTGTGATTTCCCATGCAGGCCATATACATTCTGGAACTGATTGTATTTTGCCAACTGTCTGCCGGATTCACTGACCGGTTAACAATAAAAAATTCATAATCAATTTCTGCTTATCATAGCGCATAATATTTTGAAATATAGTGATTCTTAAAATAATACAGTATAAATAAAATTAGATTGAGTTTTAAGCATGGACAATGACATGTTGAGGGAGATAGTTGCTGTTAGTGTTATATTTCAATAACATAATGCTGTGAATATCATTGGATTGTTTCTTACTAACTGTTCATTCGTAGTGGCATGCATCTAGCAATCACGATACACCTCTCGCAAGGAGTGTACCAGTATAAATATATAGTAGATCAGCAGTGGAAATGCGATATGTCAAAGGTAATCGAGCATGTGCACAAAGGTGGAAGATAAACTAACAAACCAAAACACATGTTGGCTAATGTTGTACACATCCAGACATGTATAATTGGTGTCTTTATTTTAAAGTCATAATCACTTTCAGAAAGTTAACCTTCACATCAATTATATTTCTCTATATTTATGAGAAAAGTTTTACAAAATCTTAAAACTTCAACATTAGTTTTGGACTTTGTTGTGTTTTTTAACCGTAAGCACGTAGCATGAAATATATGTATGCAGCACTGCACACCTCAGCACCGTGTGAATGGGCAAATTATTTTGGCTTTTTTATTTTTTTTTTATTTTAACTAGATTAAAAAAATCTATAACAAGGATGTTTAATGAGTGGGTTTTTGGACCTCGTTAATTTTTTTCTCCACAGCGAGGGTAAATTTAGTTTGAGTCTTGATTTAGCGGAAGGTGAATACAGCTATATGTTCACAGTTGATGGCGAATCAAAGGTAGATGCCAATCAGGTGAGAATCGTCCAATGATCATCCAGCGTTTCATCGTAGCCATAGCAATATGCATGTGTTGCTAATAGTTCTGTTTGATTTTGTATCATTTATTCATTTCTTTTACTGACATCATCCAGATTGTATTTGTATTAATTTTTATTCATCTAAACTCTTTTAATAATTAATCTTTCTAAGGTTTTGCTAGTTAAGTGCCTTACCCTGTGATCTAAAAGTCCTTGGTTCAGTCATGGCAAAAATATCATATTTTTTCAAAAACCTAAACAACTCCCCTAAGCATATAAAAAGATAGAGCACATGTTCTGTTGCCCTTGTTAATTTCACTCTGGCTAGGTCCTATTTCTTAAGTGCACCATGCACTATTATATGGCCTAAAAAATTGGTTGAGCTGCATATTATAGTGACCATTAGATTTGTCATTCAAGAATTATTATTTTTATAGTTTTCAGACCAAGTGCTAATCCTAGGATTGTTGCATCTCTGCATTTTGGCTTGTAAAAATGCACCATGTTTAAATGTATCAAATTATTTAATTCAATCTTGCAACGTGTCCTTTCAAAACATACATGTAATTTATGCTCCTCCTTTTAGAATAAACTGTAATTTTTTTTAAATGTATCCATCCTCAAATGTTTTGGGGTGGGCGGGGGTGACAACACAAACTTTTTTTTTCTCGCCTTTATCAGATTTCATATACTCAGCTTCATGCCAGTTTTATACTAAGCGAATTATTTGCGCGAATCGAAAGCGTCAGTTCACATGCGTGCGCATTAACATTTTTATTGGAGTTTTTTGCTTCAGCGAAATCAATAGTACCAATCAGAGCCCAGGAAGTGCACCAACACTTTCAATTCCCGCGAATAAATTCGCCTAGTGGAAAACGGGCCTTACTGGATAAACCATCCTTAATACGATGGGGAAAAAAATTAATCCTTTACTTTAGTTTAAAGTTTATTTTTTTAATATTCATTTTGTGATTTTGTTGAAATAAACTAATCTAACATTCAGTTTTTTAATATGTATATCAAAAATAAGTTAATTAATATTTCCTTGCTAATTAACAAACTATGAAAAAGGGGACATACGTATTTGACATTGTACAACTGATTTTTTTCTAAGACACAAAAATATTATTTGAATTAAAACTTGGAAACTGTTAATGAGATACAGATTTTTGATATTTAAAAACTGGAGGAAAAAAGATGGTTATGCCCCTTTTCCTTTTAGGTTTTGAATATTAAAAATCTTTATCTTTTAACTATTCCCAAGTTTTTTGTCCAACTACCCGTTACATGTCTTGGAAAAATCATTGTACATCATATTATTTTTTTCCTCCAGAGCATGGCTTTAAAGACCTTTGTACATAGTAAATCTTTATGTAGACTTGTTTTTTTTTCCTTGTCATATAATCACATATCCTTTTTTTAATTTATTCTTACTTACTAATTACCCTTCATTATTCTATATATATAAATATCAAATATTTTTTCCATTCTTATTAATGTTCTCATACTCATTATTAGCAAGTTTTATTTCAGTTATTTGAGCAGATATTATCTGATTTCCCCTCCCCCCCCCAAAAAAAAAATTGTGATACATACAGGAGAGGTTTCAAATACGAAACAACATTTCTGTAAATAAAAATGGCATTCACAGAGAGAAAACCATGTCCACAACTTTTGTTTACTCTCATATCCAAAATGCAATTATTACACAATGTTATATCTCCCAAGTTAAGATAACCAGTTTCGTATTTGAACGTAGTAATAATTGCAGGTCAAGTTTTTAATAAATTCCTGACACTGGTGGGAATGATAAACTAACAATATTTTCTACCTGCTTTTTTATGGTAGGAAATTTACTAACTTGACTATCACGATGGTTTGCTAATCCTGGGTGATTATTTGAAATATGCATGGCATGATAGTGCAAGTTATTGTAGTATTTACATTTTAGTAATTTTACTGTTATGCCGGGCACTACAGTAGCTGCGTCATGTGACAAATCCAACTATGCTGCCTGTGAATGGCAGAAAACGTAACAGATGATCCATTGCACGTGCATTGTGGCGTTGCGTTCTTCATGGAATCGCGTCGAGTGCAATGAGTGCGCAACAGAGAGATCGAATTGATATTGATGTCTCCTACCTTGGAGGCAATCATTTAGGGTCCAATGGAGATTATGGGGAGGATGGTTCTAGAGCGAAACGTTTTGAGTGAACGGTCTAGAGGGAGTGTTTAGGGGAGGATAATCTATATATATATATATATATATATATAGGGTGGCTGACCTAAAGGATGCCTTTTTGGGGGGTGGGGGGAGGCCTGGAGCAACCGGCTGGTACGGAAGGAGCATTTAGATCAGCCAGAATGAAGCATTTCAGAAGAATCATGAAAAAAATGTGGGTTGCTGTTTAGAGATTTAGGGAGATGTTTAAAGAGGGAGCGTTTTGGAAAGGCAGCATACAGGATCGTCATGGGAGGGTGGTCTGGAATGGGCAATTTAGGGAGAGTGTCCATGAAGGGAGTGTAGACTGAGATAGCATTTAAGAATGATGGTCTTGAGGAAGCATTTGGAATATGGCCTTTGTGGAAGCATTTGGAATGGTTGTCATGCAGAAGATTTCTAAAGGAGGGTCATTTTTATAGTAGCGCTTTATTGAGGCTATTGTGACTTTTTTCTTCTGCTGTAATACTGATTAATCCTACTATTGTTTTTTTCTTTTCCAGCCAACTATTGAAGCAGAGTTCGGCTTGAACAATGTAATCCAGGTTGCCAGGACCTAAGGACATCGGCACACTACTGACGCTTTTTTTGCAACTACCAATACTACAAAGACTTACTAAAGCTTTATCCATACTCAAATTTAAGTGAATTGCCCATATTTAGGCATGATGATGTCATATGACATCCATATTTGGGCATGATGCCATATGACATCCATATTTGGACATGATGATGTCATATCACATCCCTATTTGGGCATGATGATGTCATGTCACATCCATATTTGGGTATGATGATGTCATATCACATCCATATATGGGCAAGATGATGTCATCACATCCATATATGGCCAAGATGATGTCATATCACATCCATATTTGGGCAAGGTAATAGCATGTCACATCCATATTTGGGTATGATGATGTCATATCACATCCATATTTGGGCATGGTGATGCCATATCACATCCATATTTGGGCATGATGATGCCATATATGGGAAATTCACGTGTATTTGTCACATAATTTTGATAGTGTGGATAGAGCCGAGGATATGGCACACTTGCTAGACGTTCTGGTGCTACCAACATAGTCAACACGGAGCACCCTATACCACTGTGATTCAAGACCGTAGGCTTTCTGAAGAAAACCAGAAAACAACAAAAACCGAAAAGGTTCAGTTTATAGTAGGAATAACACAATAAAGTTGAAACTACTTGTTTCTACAAGTTTTTTTTTCCTCAGTAGATTTTTAAAAAATGATAATTGAGTATGGTTCTTCCTGCTTGGTGCTAAAGTGCTGTTCCATTCCAATGCAGTTAATCCTTTTGACATTTCTAAGAATGGGAAATTTATGCTGGTAGTCATTGTCATAGCAAAGACCGGTCGCAGTTGACCATTCGCGATCCGAAGTATGGAACTCTGCCAAGTCTGCCTGTCCTAAGCAGGAATCAAAAACTGTAAATTTGTTAAATGTATTTCTGTTTAGTAAAAATCATGTACCTATCTAGTATTCCTTTCTTATCTGTGTTCTTTGTTATTTTTAAAATTATGCGTTTATTCACCGCTTGTTAAATCGAAGCTCTAAATACTAAAATTTGTATGCTTTTATTTACAAAATTACTGTAATAAATTTATAAAGGTTATATGGTGCATGGAGAGAAATACATACTGTAAGAACCAATATCAAAATTTAAGTTTTTTTTTTCACATAATCTATAGCTATTAATACTATTCCATTTATAATTTTATATGTTTGTAATTAAAAATAATTAATAATTAATTATTTTCTTATGAGTATTGATAATACTGGGATGTACAATCTTGTTTTGTTTAAAACATGTTTTGCATTGACAATTTTATTGTACACTATTAGAAGGACAAAATTGAACTTTTATGAATAGGGTGATAAACGTTTTTCCAATCTAATAATACCGGCGTAGGCGTCCTGGGTTTTCAGCATCTGGGGCAAGAATGGAGATGGTGTCCCTTTCCAGCTGGGAGGTTTTTTGTTCTGAGCTTGTGGGCCCTATAATATGCTATATAGACGTGAGTACAACTCTAGCAAGGAAGCCTTATACATTTTTTTTGTCTAGGCTCATCTTGGTTCCCAATTAGTTCGCTGCCCTTGGCACGTGCCCTGTAGATACGCCTCAGCATAGCAGAAAAAGATATTGAAAAAATTTGACTTTGTAATGGCATTACCATATTATACACACAGTTTGATATTATATTTATGAAGGTATTGTTGTTTAGTTAGGCAGTGCCCTGCATGTTACACTCTGTATTCTGTATTAATTTCCTCAACATGTTTAGAAATAGTTAAGATTCTTGTATATATCTCACTTTGTTCAAAACACAGATTTGGTGTCAGTTTCAGCCACTTGGGGGCGCTCTACAGTTTTTGTGGTGATAGTTACAGTGACTGTCTGTTTTGTCTACTAATCTAGATTGATCTTTTACATATGTTTTAACATGTGAAATGATAATGAGCAATATCATATATTCTTTCTTTAATGCTTCACTGTTATATAATCACTATCCAGCAAAGATTTATTCCAAATTTTGGTCATGCGCAGTGAAATTTAATAGCTATGTAGCTTAGAAGTGCACCTGTATTTAAATTAGGTGGAAATATTTCATTGGAACGAAAGCAATATGCAAAATATGTGTATGTAAAATATGTGGCTACCTGTAACTTAAGGGTTAAGCCTCTTGAGTAGTAATTGGTAGACTAGGTATTCTCAACAGATATCGCCAAGTACTACTGGTGCTAATGTAACACATTTGCTGCCAAGCTTTTCTACCAAGACATAGAGGGTGCCATCATAATGAATCTAATCAACTGTAATGAAACAAGAACTTTTGAATCATTTCTTCCGGGTTCATCCCTGATTACCAGGGTGAGAGTTCATGTTCTGGCAACCACTGCCAGGGAATTTATATGCATTGAAAAGTGCTGTATTTAGACAAGTTTTCTTGGACTATTGAGCGACACCTATTGGATGTGAACTTGCTCTCCTAGCATGGAAGGTTTTAACATGCTATACATCTATTATTAATGATTAATTCCAACTGTTAGTTGTAGACCATCCACCACATGTATATAGTTGGTACTGTAGTTCTCGAGCAAACTATAATTTCTCATTTCAATTCAGTGCCGTTATGCAGATTGTGTTTGCACTTGCATTTCACATTTATGCAAACATTTGAAAAGGTTGTGTTTACAAAGCTTCTATGCAGATATATTATTTTGTCATTTGAGGATCCTGTAAAAATACCAACTAATTTATATCTCTTACTAATGTCCTAAAGGAGCTTGAGTCCCTCTTTCTATATCGGTACCCAGTTTTCTTTCATAGGTTGAATCTCTACTAGCGTGGGTGAGAGGATTGTTTGAGTTTGGGTCAAAATTCAGAGGTCAGGTCACTCCTGCTTGTTCATTTATCATGTCAATAGGTGATTCCAAAGCAAGTGAATCATGGTTATTTTACGTCGGCTGTTTTGTTGAAAAGTTTCAACCATAAAGCAATAAACATTCGCCTTTTATTTATGCATATTATTTAATAAGCTGAAAATATGCAAATTTTTAAGAAGCAAATATTAAAAACACCTTCTTTAAAATTGAATATGAATTTGATTCATAATCTATATCTTTAGTAGCTATAATACAAATATCAAAAACAATAATGATAATATTAATTTTGTTTTTACTGAAGCACTTATGCATGTTTTCAAATTTCTAATAACAATATACAGTACAGTAAATATATGTTAATTGTTTGGAACACTTAACTTGCTGTAGTCATCAGTTTACTCGTAAACTTACTCGCAGTAAGTTTGGTATTTTACCATTATATTATAAAGGGGAAAATTTGATTTTTAGAAGAAGATAATACATAAAAATTTTTCTCAAATTCTTTAAAAGAAATCCTGTGATTAGTAATCTCTTACAGTATTGTATTTTGTTGTGAAATCAGATTTTAACATTTGTTAGAAAAAGTACAAATACATTGTTGGTTTCTGTTTAAATGAAGATTTAGCAAATTTATTTGCTCCCCTTTAGACCCAAAATACTGTAATACAAAAAGTGACAAAATAAATTCTGAATTACCATCTATTAAAGTTTTGTTGATACCTACAGTATACAAGGCAAGACTTTTTAATACCTTGTTTAGCGAGCGTTTAATGACAAAATGGAAATTTCAGTTAAAAAACAATTTTTTTATAATACAGTACTGTATTTTTAATTCGCCCACTGCTGCTTGAAATCTCTCAAAAATAGGATATCGATATTTATTCTTTAATTAAATAAATTTAAAGCATTTATCAATCCCATTACTACACTTGTTTACATTCACCAATAAAACTCTCTGATGATCTTTACAATAAGTTCGCTAAACAAGGTATAAAAAAAATGCCTCGCCCTAAAGGCGTGACAATCTTTAAAGAATCTAATGCTGTATCAGTTTTGTTGCTAAATATACTGTAGTAAACTAACAAGAATCTATAAGCCGTGATTCCGAGCCTAATATTTGTTGTTATTAATTGTATTATGAATGAGTACTGATCGTTTTCATGAATTTCAATGTGGATTGTAAATCAATTAGTAGTTAATTAAGTAGATAATTAGTGTAGGTGTCACGCTGATTGCATTCTACAGTGTTTAGTGTTAAAATTTTTTGGAGTTACGGTGCTCGATTAGGTGTGCTTTACTATCCTTTCCCTGAAGAAAAGTCGGAATGACTTCAATGCACTTCAGAAAATGCAATTAAAAGTATATACTAATCTACACTAGTTTTGCTTGCTTTATTATTTCTGTTGTGAACGAGTAAAAAATTATTACATCAATTTCAGTCATCTTGAATCTTTAACATGCTTCAACCAAATTCACAACTTCATCAGTGTTGGCACAAGGACTTGCGAGATAGCCAATATCCGCAAGGAGAGGGCCGATGAGAGCGTATATGGGTGTGGTCAGGGGTTGCTTATGGCCAGGGGCTCAAGCCCCCATCGTCCGCTGGGGGCTCGTCGGGCAGTCGGAATAAAAATAGGCCCACGGCAAGCCAAAACATGTTGTCACAATTGGTGTCAGTTCTGGCCATCCAGAGGTTCCTATTCTTAAGAAAATCTCTTTTGGGAGGGGAACAACACCTATGAGCCCAAGTCCTCACGTCGAACAGTTCAGCTCCCCCAGAAAATATATCCTAGAGCTGCCACTGCTCAGGACCACTTTGGGAGGGCTAAAGGGGTCAATTTTTGTTCTCTTCCTGATAAAATGTTTTTTCTCTTAAACTTTATCTCGCTCCTGAGAGTGCATCCATAGCTAGACTTTTGGTCGCCAGAGGTCATGGAGAATTCTCACCACATGAATGAAGTTCCTATGGCAGTTGCATAAAAAAAAGTGTCTATAGAAGGATTTAAACCGGAAACTTTTTGCTATCAAGGGAAGTATCATAGTATCATAGCTTCTCAAACATTCGCCAGAAGTCTAGTGACTTTTTGTAGTCAGCGTGACCACTCACAATTTTTGATACCCAATGACTGGGTCGAAATTACCCAAGATTCAGCAAAAATTGCCCAAAATTACCCAAGCTTCCTGAAAATGCATTAAAATTTGAAAAAACGTGTTTTTCGCATGTATAGTTTCCCTTTTAGTTCAATTTATAAACCATTTGTAATTGTTTGTGTTAATTATTAAAATGAATATTCATGAGGTAATAATACGGATAGAAAAATACGCCCTCAGTCGGCCAGTGTTATCAGTGATCAAGTTTTATTATGTAATGCATAAAATTAGGTAAGATCAATGACAACGCAAATCACGAATAAACAATTCTGAACCCATGTTTATAGCAATTAACAGTCAATTAACAATTTTATGTGCACTTCGTTGAGTTGTGCTTACTTGAATTCACTGAAATATACTTTGTTACTTCTTAATTCTTCCTTTATGACAAAAATATTTAATTTTCTTAGTAAAAATAAAATACCCAAGGATTTGAACGGAATACCCAGAAACCCAAGACCAAGTCAAAATACACAAGATCTTGGGTAAATACCCAAGCAGTGGTCACACTGTTTGTAGTGTTAGATAATTTCGAAGAGTGCCACCAGCGTCTGTTTTTGCTTTTGGATAGTATGGAACGTCATGCAAATAGGTAATATGGAACGCCATTGGTGCCAAAATAGATTTATTTTTTTAATATTCACTGATTAAGACAAAGTTAGGAACTGGAACCCAGTCTAATTTTTAGGTGGCGGCTCATTTTCTGACTCTTTATTCTTTGGCGCCCCAACAATGCTATTGTCATGTCATGTTATGAGTTGATTAGGCCTACTTATATTATACCTACTTTATTCCCTTGTTTGTTTTTCTTCTTTTTTTTTTTTTTTTTAGAAATCTATGCTAGTATAATTTGATAGCCAAAGCAGCACTTGCCTCCAAATTTATCAACATGCTGTTGTATGTACAGTTAACTTCGGATAAGTCGAATAGAAAGTGACTGTTAATTGTTACGATTGTTATTTACTCATCAAAACGTACACGAGGAATTTGATATCGTCGATCGTCGTGTACTGAATGTTCCATTTTTTAGTATGGAGAATACTACACTCGTGAAATGTTAAAAACAAAACAATGACGAATTTTCGACTTATGGACAGTTGAGGTTGAATAGGTCAAACGAACACAAAAAGAAAAGAAGCATAATTTTAAACACGTTTTAACTTTTATTTAGTAACATGGTACGTCGAGTTATATTCCTGCCTTACTTATAGTGGAGAAATTCACCATGAGGTTTGGGTGATAATGTTTCTAGATTTGTTTTATTTAGCATCTCGCATAAAAAAAATTCTATTTACATCATCATAAAAACGATACAATATACCCCGGTGGGGGTCCACGGATATTTGATGAATTATGGCGAATTTTTATTACTATTTGATAGGCATCGAGTAACTATAATATGACTTCATGTAGGCTATGCTTTCTAATGTTGAAATCAGCTTCCAAAACCAAAACATTTTGAATAAAGCAAGAAACAAAGAGTATGCAATGTAACCATCTAATTTAGTG